AGAGAGACTTTCTATGTAGACTGGAGAAGGTGAAGGGAGGAAACCTGACTGACCATTGGGGTTTTTCTATGAGTGTCTGGCTTTGTTTGCTGCTTTTGAAAGTAACAGCTGATACTTAGTAAAGGCCGCATGCAATTTGAAGCGTTCTTCAGCTCTACCTACAGTCAGTGAGAGTTACCTCAGTGCGAATTCACTGACGTCTGCAAAGACATTTGCATATCATTAGCCCTTTGTCCTCAGAGGCTTAAAGCATATGAAACATTTTCTGCTGGTTTTTCTCACTGCATGTTGTTAAGAGATAAATATTAATTCTTTTAGGCTGGTGAGCTGCCTCCTGGTAATGGAGGCTGTGAAGTTTAGAGTTGGTGTACTAGGTACCCATGCAAAAGGCATTGCCAATGTCCCAAAGCTGTACTTTTGTCATTAATTAATAAACAGCACATGATGTCTCATAGAGAAGTGATACTTGATGTCAAGTCCAGGAGGAGACAGCAGTGGAGGAAGAGCAAGAATAACTTGAAAAGCAGGAAAGAAACCCCTGAAGAGTATGACCTCATACAAGTCAAGAGAGGAAAGTGTTTAAGGAGTGGAAATCATTATTTGAGGCGAAGCCTATTGTGAGTTCATGGCGGATGCGGCCAGAAGCTCCTGTGGGGTGCTGTGATGTATTTAGATGTCAGTGATCTTGAAAAGAGCAGGTCCAGAAAAACGCAGGAGCAGAAGCTATATGGCAGTGAGCTAGCAGCGTCACCTTTCAGAAATATGCAGAAGTAAAAAGCTTGAAAAACCTTCCTCTACAGAACCCTAGAAAACCTAAATAAGAAAACATTCTCTACCTCTGAGCTCCTAAAACATAAAAGGAAATGCTCAGGAGGCCCAAGGGAAGAAGCAACTGAAAACATGGTATCATTGTCACAAGATGAGTGGATGGATTCATTTACTGGTTTTGGTACACAAAAGTTTACATTTTAGGGCTTTACAGAAAGGCATTGAGCCTGATTAAAATTGAAGGTTGCAAAAGAAAGAATACTGTGGTACACTAAGTACTGGTCATAAGTCCCAGGAACTTGTGCATGTAACCTTGCCTTGCAACATAACTGGAGGTGGGATTAGAGTGAAGACCTGGAGCTGGGGGAATTATCTTGCATTATCTGGAGGAGCCCTACCTGGAGCCACAATTGTTCTTCGAAGGGTGAGGCAGAGGAGTGTATGAATACAGACAAAGCAGATGATGATAGAGGCAGAATAAACCGGAAAATGCTCCGTTGTTCTCTTTGAAGACACAGGAAAATGACCCAGTAGACAAGAAACCCAAGTTATGTAGCTCCTGAAGTTGGGTTACTGCTCTGCTGCCCCCAGTGAAAGTGATTACAGGCTTCCAATGTCGGCATTGGTGAGAACAGATTGGTGTGCTTTGCCACCAAATTTGAGTTCATTTGTTTAAAAAGCCACAATGCAAAGATCTTTCCTGTAAGTCCCGTACTACTCAAGCGCTATGCATAATGGTCTCAATGTAAGAGAAAAATCCACTTATCAGTATGAACTCACAATAAGACATTTTGATTTTGGCCTGAGCTCTGTATGAAATGTTGAATTCCTTGAGAAATTATTTATTAATTCAAATTTGGCCTCGTAATTTATAATTCATACTTACAGTGATTGTATAGATGTGAAAACCTCTAACTTCAAGTGTTAATTTCAAAAGTGACTACAGAATTTTAACATAATAGAGCCAAGAATAGCCACTATCTGCCTAAAGAAGAACAAAGTGGAGGGATGTATCCCACAAGGTGTCAGGCATTATTAAAAACCTGCAGTAATTAAGACAGTGTGCTATTGGTATAAAGAGAAAGCTACATGGATGAAACGCCACAGAGAGCCTAAAAGTAGTAAATAGAAACTTTATCACAAATGGGGCTTGGAGAGAATTTGAGATTGATTGTGGACTTCAATGCAAAAACTAAAATTATGATGTTCATCGAGGAAAATATAAAGCAATGCTCTTGCAACTTTTGGCAAGCAGAAATTTCTTAGTGCACAAAAATTAACAAACCAAGGAAAAGAACTAAGAAAATGGGCTTCACCAAAATCAATAATTTCTGCTTATCAAAAGATGACACTAAGAAAATGTATTGGCCAGCCCACTGTATAAGACATATGAGCTTGCCAAGAGATATATATTGTAAAAAATGCAAACAGCCCCTACAGTT